CTCCAGGGAGAGCTAGAGGTTGTCCCCAGCCCTCCCCGCTCTAGGGATGTGTCCCCAGCAGGTTTCTCTTGGCCGTGGTGCTTTTTGCCAAGTTTGGTGTCTCGGGGTGACCAGTTCTTTGGAGTGTAGTAACCCTTTGCACAGGTTTGAAGCTAAGAGCACCCAGGGATCCTCCCCCTGGTGGTGCTGTCACCGTAGGTACAGGTCCCAAACCGAAGCCCGCGGCCACGTGGGGAGGTGGGTAACGTCGCCAAGTGAGCCTGGGGTGTTCCAGCACGCCTGAAGCTGAGCTCAGCGTCCCCGCTCGGCCGTCCCTGCTGTCCCTGCCCCGTGTTGGATGTCGATCTCTGCCGTGTCTGACTCTTAAGGTCTTTGTCCTTTCCGTCCGTAGGCGCAGAGCCCTGAAGTGCGATTCCAACAGCAGCTGGAGCAGCTGAACGCCATGGGCTTCATTAATCGTGAGGCCAACCTCCAGGCTCTTATTGCCACTGGTGGAGACATCAATGCAGCTATTGAGAGACTGCTGGGCTCCCAGCCCTCCTAAACTCTTGTCATGCTGCCCCGCAGGCGTCAGCACATGCATCCATACACATGCACAGGGGGATCTTTCAGGAAAGCCCGCCATCATTTTCATATCTGACAGCTGTCCATGTATTTAAAACAAACACAAAAAAAAAGATACAGCTTAACCCCTGACCTTCCTACTAAGTTAAGATTTCATGTTGAAATGCTCTTTAACTGGCTTGTATGTGAATTCCAGTTCTCATCGTGGCCACAGAGACTTCAGATGTGTATTTTTTCCTAAATATGCCCTCTGTCTCAGACACTCTTCTCTCTCTCTCTAGATGGTAGAGGCGATACTTCTAGTTACTTACCTGAATGATTGTGTTTTGAGTAGCTTGATTTTAACTGTACATGATTCCCTCCCCTAGCCCTCCTTTCAGGCGAATATTTAAAAACTTGAGCCAAGTCTGGGCTTTTGGTTCTTTTCTCCCAGCGTCACATTGGGAACGGATCGAAAGAAAAATCGAAACGAGCTGGCAATTTCTGATGTCGTTTTGTCTTCACGTTCCATCGGGGGGAAGTGAGCCTGTGTCCCTTGCACACAGGTGCCTCTGATCTCCTGGCAGAGGGTTAGCGTGCAGGGAAACTAGATTTGAAGTGTGGCCTCGTTACGCTCCTGGGATGGTGGAAAGGAGCCGAGATGCCGTCAGGGATCGTCAGGCTTGCAGTTCTTTGAGCTTGAGTTGAAATGCCGTGTGGAAGGATGCGTTTGAAAGGCGTGGATCTGCCCAAGCGATTTAGGGCTCGCACAGCGGCGTCAGGGGTTTGTTGATTCTCGTGCTCGGTAGGCTCATCTCTGAAAGTGTAAAAAGAAAAAAAAAAAAGAGAGAAATTGAAAAATAAGTTAACAAATCTCGCTTCACTGGACAATGTTCATGTTCTTCCTGGTTTAGATCCATCCTCCATCCCTGTTCCCCTCCCTCCCTCCCCCCCCTCCCATTTTGGTGTGTTTGAATGTTACGACTCTCCAAGAAAACTCCCCGAGGACCAGCAGGGTGATATTTTCCCAAGAGCCTCCGTGGCTGTGTAATTTGCATACCATTTTTATCAAAGGAAAATAAATGCGCACAACCATCTGTCTCCCTGCACTCCATGTATCTTCCTTGATTGCCACAACTGAGCTGATCGAGTTTTCCCCCCCAGCTAATTGTGATTCATCCATCTTGTCCCCCCCGTGCTTCCCTCTCGCGCATCCCGTCGGGGTGACGTGTGACCTCTTCCAGGAACTCATTTTTGACTCTTTGCCGAAGGCTCACTTAAAACCTGCCCTGTTTGGAAGCTTCCTTTTAATTTAGGGACGTTAAAGCACGCGGAGGATGAGCGAAATGTTTGGGTGATGTGATCCACGGGACGTTAAGAAGCCGGCGAGTCGTTCTGCTGACCCCAGAGGTGGTTTTACTCGCTGGGTTTTACTCCTGCTTTGCTGTAGCAAACCGTTCGCTCCGTGTTAGTATTTTGGGGCTCTTTGAAGTTTCTTTCAGTACAGGAGGACTGGGCAGTGAGAGGGAATAGGAGGAATCTGCGCTGCTTTTGTTTGTGTACCTGTAAAACCTGCCGCACCCAGGTGGCTTCTGAGTTGTGGATGGGATCTGTGGGTGCCCCGCGTTGTCGGAGAGCGCAGGTGGAGCAGCGGTTGCTTGAGAAAACACGGGAGCGCGTGCGGGCTGGAAATGCCTTTTGTGTGTCCACATTACGACGAGACCGTGGGATTATTTTTTTCCAATGAGGATTCAGAGATCCCAGCTGTAAACTCTTCTCTCGAAAGCTGCGGATTTCTTTACGCGACCTCTCCTGAAGACGTCGAAAGAATTTGCAGGGAGTTGTAAGGATGGGTTCCAAAGCTCCCGGCGGCGCTGGCGGGGTCGGAGCTCTTTCCTCACGTCACTCGTCGTCCCCTTTGCAGCTAGAAGTGGGCTTTGATGGTCCTTGGTGATCTCTGAGATTTGTGCTAAGGTCTGTTTCTCTCTGCCAAAGCTCTGTCCCCGTGCAAGCCGGCTCTTGCAAAGAATGCGCTCGTGGGAGGACGGGGTAACCGGGTGAGAGGGAGCCGAGGAGGAGCTGGAAGGAGAGGGGTGATGTGCCGGGTTGCGGCGGTGGAGATGTGCCCCCCCAGCTTTTTGCTCTGCCCCTGAACCTCTCCACAAAAGCAAGACTAATCCCAAACCCCTGTTGTTTCTGGCCGGATGGAAACACTCTGTCCAGCTCCCTCCTCCGCGTGCCGGCGTGGGGGGAACGGCGCTGAAGCGAGGGAGCCGCGTGGTGGAGGGCGCCCACCGCCAGCGTGGGCAGGCTGCTGAGAGTTACTGAGGAGGATTAATGCGCTGCTTGTAGAAATTCTAGGCTGGGGTGTTTTTCCTTAAGCTAGGGCCTTGCTTTTCCAGAGGGGGCTCTGGACCGTGGCGAGTGCATGCACAGCGTTCTCCAGCGCTTCCCGTGGAAGGGGGATAACGATTGTCATCTCGCTGGGGGAGAAGCAAGGAGGGGGAAATGCTAAGTCTTCGCAGGCCGTTCAGCCCTTGGTGTCTCTCTGCTCTTTTAAGCAGGAAAACGTTATTTCTCCCATCTCTCCACCACGCAGCGTCCGCTCTGATGTCGGTTTGAGATCATTCCTCACCTGCTGCCAGCCCACCAGCCAGGGTGCTAAAATAAAGAGAACGGGGCAGCCTGCTATCTCTGCTCACAGCCTCTTTGCATCTGATGTTCATCCACCAGCTCTCCAGCTTCCCCTGGGTGATTTGGCAAAGCTGCCGCCTCCGCGCTCTCCTCTGTTGCCACTCCAGCGGGGCTTTGCCGCGTCGGTGTGGAGCAGCCGGATGGCTTCGTGGCCGAAGGGGCACTGAGGGGATGAGCTCAGGGAGCTGCTGGTGCAGCTTTTCCTCACCCCTCCACCCTGACGGGATTTTCTCCCCCAAGGTCGTGCTGAGCACTCTCTCCCGGGCTCTGCAACCTCTTCTCCGGAGCTTCTACGACTGATGGTCTGGTTCTCCTTCCTCCTCGGGGAGCAGAAAAGTGTCTCCATCTGCCCGCGCCCTGGGACAAGGTGCTGAGCTGTGAGAGCTCTGCCCCGCGGCTGCCTGGGGAGGCTCCGGCCCTCGGCCCTGGGCAGGGTAGGGGGAGCAGCAGCGTCCCCCCCACCTCAAACTGGGGGAGAAGAACTGGGAGGGGATGGGGCTGTGGTCGGAGGAGCCCGGAGGTGTGATGGATTCAGGGGATTCGCAAGGGCCTCACCTTTGGTTGGCCCAGGCTTGGGAGGAAAAGGCGGCTGTGAGGGAAGGGAGCTTTTTAGTGAAACCTTAATCCCCTCCAGAGAGCTTTCCCTAATCCTCGGTGATGTGCTGCTCAGAAGCCCTCTTTCAAAGGAACAATTGCGCTTTCTCGCTGTTGTATCTCTCCTTCCCCGAGGAATTGCCCAAAGGTGTTCTGTGCTGACTGTTGCCTCTCATTTTTCTCCGATAAATGGAATTAATTCCTTTAAAATATAATGAAAGGAGCAATTTCCTCGGCAGGTAGTGGTGAATCTGGCTGATAGATTTGGAGAGATTTCTGCTGTCAAGGACTTGTTTTCGCTTTATTCCTCCCTCCCTCCCTGGAGGAGAACCACAGCCTTTTCCCCCAGTAACTGAGTGTAACACTTCCAGCTTTGAAATCAAACCTCTTAAATGTGGAGGAGAGAGATATTGCAGGAGACGAACATCTAAATTTCTTTCAATAAACCGTTTTTCATTACTGAGGTCCCTGGCCACGGCACGGGCTCTTTCCTGCGGCCACAGCCCTGATTGAGGCGGGGTGCAAGTTCAGACTGGCTCTGTTAAAAGTTAATAACTTCAGAATGCGCTGCAAGAGGGGTCAGCAGGGAAATCTCCCGGGGTTAAGAAGTCACAGAGTGGGGGGAAAAAAAAAAAAACTGCTGCAGCATCTCTGCTCGGCCACGGCAGCCCGAAGGAAGGGCTGGAGACTGAGCAGGCTGAATGATGCTCCTCAGCCTCTCTGCTCAATTCTGCAGCTTTTCGGGGTGGAAAACCATGATTTAGAGAGCGGTTGGGACATGGCCAGCTTGCTCGGCTGCCTGCCAGCAGGATGTGGCCATGTCGCACTTCAGGTCCGTATTCATGCTGCTCCGACTTGGTTTATTTTTAATTTCTCCAGCAAGTTGATACCTTGTTCCCTGCAGCTGCCTGCCCCGGTCCTGGCCGTGTTTCACCAGGGTTTGCACGTGGGTGTAGAATTCCCATCCTGGGGGGGCGGCTGTGCAGGAAATACCCCCATCCTTGCTGCCTCAGTTTCCCTTGCCCCTTGAGACCCATCTGGCACCCATGAGATGGCTCCTCCTTGAAGGTTATTGCTGCGTTATTTTAATCCTGGGAGACAGCAGTGAAATACGGAGCAGCCAAGGCTGCTGCCCTGCAGACCCTCGGCTG